GGGGGGGGGGCTATCACAACTTTTTGACTATTGCAGGATTAAAAAGGGGAGTTATGCAATTGTTGATTCTGCTATGGAGGGGGAAGGGGGGTTGGGTGATGTTTGTAATGTGATTTTGCCAACCCCCATCTTACTACGCCAAGAACCAAGAACTATTTGTGAGCTAGCTGTGTTCTGACTTTGATCAGTGCCCAGATGTCTTTACAGGTTATCAATATAACGATTAAATGTTTATTTAGGATCGATAACTAGGACCGGTTCAATCACAGTTGGTAAACACGGACTGGACAACAGGAAGAGCGTAAGCCTTGTTTTATATTTTTACCTTGTTTTATTTATTTATGCAAGCAATATAATACTAAAGGCTGATTTACACGGTACAATTTTCTCTTACAACTGTCGCGCGCAACATGCTTACGCCACGTTTTAGCTGCCATTTACAGTCGTTTGCAGGTTTTATGGTCGATTTAAACAATGTTGTCAGCATGGGGCGGTTGCACGCGTTATGGAGGAAAAATTGTACCTTGCAAATGAGCCTTTTTTTGGCTGTTTTTTCAGCGCGTCAGTAAGCCGAGAGAGGGGAAGCCAGCTGCCAAGAAAGCAACAGTCTCTAGTCAATTTAGGGTAACTATTTTCTAACTATGTAGAAACGCACTTCGCAGACATTGCGAACCGTTACTGTGACGGTGCAGTTGTCTGTATTCTGATTGGGTGAGCAGTGCAAGCGATTGCAAGCTCTAAACCATGCGATACAGTTAATTGAAGGTGAGCAAGACAGTTGCTTTAACATACTGGTTTAATCAACAATCATCGTCTTCATTCATCACTCAACATCATCACCATCATTCATCATTATTATCATCAGTCATTCATCATTAACATCATCACCATCATATTATCATTCATTATTTACAGCATTGTTATCACCATCATTAGCAGCACTCCCATCATCAGTCATTCATCATTAACAATATTATCACCATCATCGACAGCATCACCATCATCAACAGAATCACCATCATCAACAGCATCACCATCATCGTCATCAGCATCATNAATATTATCACCATCATCAACAGCATCACCATCATCAACAGCATCACCATCATCAACAGCATCACCATCATCGTCATCAGCATCATGTTCTGCCCTTCACCACCATTATAACCACCACGATTATCATCATCAATTATTTATCCCCATCTCCACCATCATCTAACTTCACATTGTACAAATGCTTCTTTTTATGATAGACTTCTCTGACGATCTTGATGGGAAAGTTGACCGCTGCCAACCCTCATTTCATTCGCTGCATTAAACCCAATCACCTCAAGGTAGGCATGGGAGTCGGGAAGACTAGAGAATCCAGAGAAAAACCCTTGAATCAAGGGAGAGACCTAACAAACTCTACTCACATGTGATGCTGAGTTCAGGAATCGAAGTGGAGACCCCATAGGCGAGAGGCGAGAGTACCAACACTCGAACTACGACACCCTCAAAATTCATATGCCAGGTTGTGAGAAATGAGCGCTTTCAACGCGACGCCATCCATGCTTCTCAATTTGATTATTATTCTTAATTTTTTCTCACGGTTCTGTGTTTCAGGTGTCAAATGACTTCGATAACAAATATGTTGAAGATCAGGTTTGTAAAGAATAAAAATGTTTATTTGCTCTAGAGCCTGCTGCAGGGGCGTGGTTATGGGGCAGGGGTGTGGGGTTCTGGCAAACATAACTGCTTGTATAATGAATAGTCGTTTGTTTCTCTTATAGTTGAAGTATACCGGTGTGTTGGAAACTACGCGTATCCGCCGTGAAGGGTACCCTGTGAGGCCGACGTTCAGCGAGTTTGTTGACAGGTAGAGAAATAACTATCTAATTGCTGGGTTTCAAGCAGCTGATTAAAGTCATTGAATCTCATGATCTGCTTCAAATGTGTTGTCAAACACTGACCACCATTTGCTGTCAACTACAAAGAATTCTATATACAACTTGTGTTTTAGCAGACGAGCATTCTGCATAGCAATAGTAAATGTTGCTATTTCTGCTTTTCTTGTTGTTGCTGCTGTTGTTGTCATTGTTGTTGTTGTTTTCATCGCTGCTGTTTTTGTTGCTGCTGTTGCTGCTGCTGTTGTTAATGCTGCTGTTGTTGTTGCTGTTGTTGGTGTTGTTGGTTCTGATCTTGTTGTCATTGCTGTTGTTGTTTTCATCGCTGTTGTTGTTGCTGTTGTTGGTGGTGCTGTTAGTG